TGGTGTCGGGGGCCATGCTGCTGCTCAAGCGACAGCTCAGCCTGGACGCGCTGTGGCAGGAGCTGCTGGTGTCCAGCACGGTGGGAGCGGCCGCCGTCTCGGCGCTGGCCGGCGGGGCCCTCAACGGCGTCTTCGGCCGCCGCGCCGCCATCCTCCTGGCCAGTGCCCTCTTCACTGCAGGCTCCGCGGTGCTGGCCGCGGCGAACAACAAGGAGACGCTGCTCGTCGGCCGCCTGGTCGTGGGGCTCGGCATCGGTGAGTTCGGGCTCCGCGGAGGGCGGCCCGGGACCCAGGCGTCCCGCCCGTGACCCAGGACCCTTTTGCTCCCCTGGGGGTCCCTGTCGGGTCTCGTCGGGTCTCGAGAATCCTCCACTTTTCTTGCTTCCGGAGCCCAGCTGTTTGTCAGTCCGGCTTCCAGGGCTCCCCCGGGGGGGAGTGGGTTCGCCCCCCGAGCCCACGTGGAATCTTCCATCGCCCACTGACCAGGCAGTCAGCGTGGTGGTTGCTCCCATCAGCACTTCCAGGAGTGCCGCTGATCACAAGCTTTTCCCTTGATCCAGCCTAACCTGATGCCTCTCCTTGAGCTTACGAGGGTCTCTACTTTCTTGCACTCCTCCTCTTTATTTCTTCACTGCCACTCTCTGTACTTTTCTTTTTAACCCGGCACCCAGTCATAAAGTCACAGTAAGATCATTTTTAGTTAAGTGATTCTGGACTATAAAACTGTTTTTTTGCTACCTCTCCCCTTTTTCCTTTCTCTAGTCGTTTGTCTTTAGATGGAGTATTATTTTCTCTCCTTTTTGTGCTTTTTTCTTTTTAGGTGATCCACTGCTAAGAGTCATGTTTTTGAGCTTTTTGTATTGCCTTTCAACTTCCATCCTTTTCCCAAATGAATTTCTTGCTCCTCTGTTTTTCTGACTTTTTCCTTGAAATCCATATTCACCCATTCTCTCTCTTTTTTTTTTTTTTTTTTTTTTTTTTGCCTCTCCTGCTTTCCAGTTGGGCACCAAATTATCTATTAAAGGTCATGTTCACTTCCTAAATTTATTTAGGAACTACTCCAACTGTGGATAAATGCCGAGCAAGATAGATGTTTGCAATTTACTGTAAGAAAAAAAAAGGGGGGGGGGGGGTAAGGTTCCCCTGGCCTTGATTTTTTTCAGCCTGGTTGCTGAACAGGGGAGGTACAGTTGGCAAGTTTGTGGCAGAGGAAGCTGTTTGGAATGTGCTCGGTATTATTAGAAAGTACTTTTGTGGGCAAGTGGTGGGTTGTGACTTAAATCTCACTAGTAGTTTTTCTAAGACACACTGCTGATGCTTTTTTAATGTTTCATTTCGTAATTCAGTTTTTTGTTTCCCTTAGGGTGCTGTGAAGTATTTCTTCCCTGTGGCTGGGCTTGATGAAAGCACTTTAAACCTGGGGCTGCTGCTGATTTGTACATTCGCCACTTGTTTGATGTTGGTGTTTTTTTTACCCTTTTACCTTGATGGCTCAAGGGGGAAGCCGACTTCATTTATTCAACTCCTCTTGTCGGAACCATGAGCCTAAAACCCAGCTCACTGCACTTTGTATCCAAATTCTGTCTACTGACCTTTTGTTTTTTATACTGTTAATTAGTGAAACAGGACAAGGCTGTCAGTACAATTTCAGCACATATAGTCCAAAATGACAAAAAAGTTCAGCTGAAATTAAACCTCTTTGTATGGAAACAACCTGTGCTGTCAAGACCCTTCATTAGATAATCTCCCTTTAAAGTCAAATGACTGGACCAGGATTCTTAGCATCCTCAGCATTGTCTGCTTGTGACACCCGGACCTTTTTGGTTTTTTTCTAACATAAATAACATACTTTTAGGTAGCAAGATTTGTTCAGTAAACCTGAATCTTTATTTGTGATATCAAAATTGAATAATGTTTGGAGGAATCTCTAAATAAAGCTCCTAGTGTTCAGCTATGGCAAACATCGGATAAAAATCTGGGTATTATGTTACTCTTTTATCTGATGGGAAAATTGAGCCCCTGTTGTGTGTAAGGTCCCCTTCCTTCCAGACGTGAGAACAGTGAGGAGAGGTTATACTCCAGTAAGGGTGGCAAGATGGGATTGAAGCAAGGTAGAACTTGCTAAGCTCCATAAGAGAATTCAGAGAGGGTATGGTTATCCCCAGCAGAGGGAAGCCAGAAGCTCTTACTGATGGAAATGACATGTTGACACATGAGGACCAGTTTAACAGTAGGAATGAGGACAGGACCTCAGCAAGGGAATGGATAAAGAAGGAAAGCCTAGGGCATGTTTGGGGAACAAGGTGGATACAACGAAGGATAAAGCAGGAGACTAAATAGGAAATGTTGGTGTGCAAGAACCGTGGGGGCCTTTCCCTCTTACAGCCACTTAATGTGGTCTCTGGTCTGGTTGGCTGAACTATGAGGCTCAGTTTGGGAAATGGTCCTGATTCAGTCCAGGTGTGGCCTATCTCACTTCTGGAACACACCCCCCACAGAATAAAAACCCTAATGCCAAGTTTTGTAAAAGCCCTCTTCATTACAAAATAAATCTTCTAAGGTCACAACAGGCTTTAACATTAAGAAACAAAATAAAAAAAACAAACAAACAAAAAAACCTTTGTATTAGGATCTGTGCAAAAAGCACGTAGTTGTACATGTAAAATCCTTAAGGCTCACAAAGAGAAGTCAAGAATTATTTTTAGCTACAAGGAAGTGGGTCCCCAGGACGAGCATTTTTGAGGGACACAATCTGGATTAATTTCATACTGTCATTTTTTTTTTTTTTTTTTTTTTTTTTTTTTTTTGTCTTTTTCCGTGTCCGGCAACGGATCGCAACCCTCAGTGTTGCCCCCGCACCGGACCGGGGACCGGCAACGGGACTGCAACCCCCGGCGCTGCTCCCGCGCCTCGCTCAGCCAGTGAGCGGGAACCGGTCTGTATGTGGGATCCGAACCCTCGGGCGGGAGCGCCGCCGCGCTTCCCAAGCGGCGCACTATCCAGTGCACCACCGGGCCGGCCCATACTGTCATTTTTTAAGTAGTTAAATTTTATATGCGGTCAGGGTTTTGTTGTTTTTGTCCTTTTGATACTTAGTAAGTGTTGATGAATAACAAAATGTGGCTTGTACCTTTTTCAGACAAGTTTGCTGTGGTAACTTCTTTCCTCCACAAATTTATCTGTGGTAAATATAAGGCCCATGGGGACAGGGATTTTGGTTAATTTTGTTCACTGGCAATTAGGATGTATTCTTGGCCCACAGGAGACACTTATTGAATAAATGAATGAATGGTGAGCAGAAACATTAAAAGAAATTCTGTTGCAGGTAGGGTACCACTTTAAGATAGGATTGTTCTTTTAAAAGCAAAAATAGTCCATTATCAAAATGTTCGAAAAGGCCACGTAAGGGTTTTAGTTGTCATAGTTTAATGAAGTCATTCATTTATCCATTCAACAAATGCTAACTAAGCTTCCTTCTGTCAGATTTGGGGTAGGCGGTAATTAAATAGATAAAAATCCCACTTAGGGATGTTCATTCTATAATGGAGCAGAAAGACACATAAGCAATTACAGTACAATGGAGTTTTCTCAAAAGTGTCAGAGGAAACACGGAAGAGTGGGCAATTGATTCATTTGGGAAGAGTAAATAGAACACAGGATTAAGGAAGGTTTTACAGAAACGGGTATTTAAACTGGGGTTTGAAGAGTGAGTAGGAGTTCAGCACATAATGTAAATGATGTAGACAGAGCTGGTTCGTGCTTATTTCTTGCTTTACTATGTACTAGGCACAGTAGTAGTACTTTACATATGTTATCTCATTTAATCTTCCTAATGCTGTGAAACATCCCCATTTGGTGGATGTGGAAACCGTTAACAGCAGCTAAATGACAGTGTCACTGATACAAAGTCAGGATTTAAAAAGCAAAAGAGTTTTTTGCTCTTTCTGTTACCATACTGGGCATTGAAGGTGCAGTTAACAGCAGGTGTAAAGACACAGAAAAATCAAAGCAGTGTTTGAAGCATAGGTGAGTGAGGGGTGGTGATGGGGTGGTCATGAGCCTGGGATGTTTTTTGGGGGGTTAGGCTGAATAGGGTCTATGAGGCTATGCTTACGCAGGGCAGTCATTGGAGGGTTTTAACTGTAAATAATATAATCAGATAAAACATCCCTTGACTTTGATTTAAACTTTTTTTTTTTCTTTTCCCATTCTGCTTTTAAACTCTTTTACCTTCTTCCTCAAACCTTTTTGCATCTTTGAAATTTCTAGTGTTAGAAATCCTTTGCTGAGATACTTATTACAGGATGGATAAAGCATTGCATGTGGCCATGAATTTCTGACATAAGAAGAGTCAGTGTGCCCTTCAACAGAAACCTTTGAAAAAGATAGATACCAAGCACTAGATTGTAGTTGTTAATCTGTGTTAATTGAATCACATAGTAAAAGATGGAAGGATAAAAAATCAGGAGTATTCATATTTGTTTTGGCTTGAGAGTTCAGTTTTCTTTATTAGTTACAACAAAATTAGTTTATTGAGTGCCTGTTGTAAATAGGGCATTATTTTAGGTTTTGTGTCACTAGGGGATCCTTTGGTTCCTCTTGTTTATTTAGTTCCTATACTTGACCTGAATCCCAAGACCAGACTTTCTCCGTTGTCCCTGCCTACTTATCATGACCACCTGAACTTTTTAAACATAAGATTCAAATTTTAAATAGGGCACAAATTTTTGATCCCAGAAATCATTGTATTTTAATTGGGTAATCTCATTTTGTATGTATTTTTTTCATGATCCAATTTTGGAGGTATTTGTTTAGCAGTATAGTACCTGTAGTCAAGGTTTTAAAGTTTGGTTAGTCACAGTGGGAAAGAAGGTATGTGAGTTTGCTCAGGTTTTCTTTATTTTATTTTCTGTGACCTTATATCTCTCATGCATAACACAAAAAATAGTCTAAAAAGGGCACATTACAAGAACACAGTACTGTTTTCACTATTAGCATATAAGTATACAATCAGCCAAAAAGCATACAAATTAGCCCTTTCTCTTTGGCGTGGCATTTACTCTACTGTTCATTATAAGTGGTGGTTTACTGTTTGTGTAGGTAATATCAGGAAGTCTCTAAATTCTGATATTCAACAATGTTCAGAACCTTTACTGAGCATTGACATATCAATTTATTCAGCGCTGGATTTGTCGAATTAGTCTTAGATTTACATCAGTTTCTACTCTGATACACTCTGTTTCAATACTCTCTCT